CTCTTATCATTTGCTTGCTGCTGCTATCACAATGAAATGTTTGGGAGAAAACAACCTCTATCATCATTGCCAAGCCTTCTACCTGCACATTAGCTTCCTTCTTTGGAGACCGAGTTGCCGTTTAAGGCGGAAATTAAGTAAACGAGCAAAAACCCGCTGCAGTCGTGAACATCATTAATTATCAATGTGGAGCTTTGTTGATGTGTTGAATTAAGGATTTTACACTTTATGTGTTTCCTGTGTTTGCCTGAACTAATTAGACTGTGCTTTGCCTGAGAACATACGTATATTTGAGGTGTTTTTTGGACATTTTAATACGCTGTGAACCTCAGAGAGCAGGAACGCCGGCGAGGGACATGAAACCGCTTTTAAAAAAAATAACATTATTGTCTCGCAGAGTTTGAAAAATGTCTCCGTTGCCCGGCTGTAATTACTCATTCGTGCAGCCAAACTTAATTATAAGTCTTCATAAATCTAAACAATGTCGTCCCGCTGTTTAATTGCCTGCTGGGGTATTTATCTATATGAGAAATAGTTATAATTGCCGACAGTTTGGATGCCAATTTTCAGTCAATGAGACAGATGGATCAGTCTCAAGTCTTCAAGGAGGGAGGTGAAGCATACGGGCTTTGATGTGCCTGTGTGGCTTTCCAGAGTAAATTAGCTTCAAGCTGTAATTTAATGTCTTAGGGAGCGTTTTCCTTCTTTCAGTTGTGGGGTTTCCTCTTGGAACAGGTTGAAGGAAAATGGGAAAGAATATTAAAAAAATAAATTATAATCAAGTCCCCGGTTGGACTTTTTGTTTGAGGTCACATCACAGCAGCACAAGACCAAAGCACAAGCTTCTTCTTGCATTCATTAATTGTTAAATCGTTGTTTATTGTGCCCCAGGAAAAAACAACTCTCCCTACAAAGTCAGTTTTCATTTCAAGCAGCAGCTCAGAAAGTTGTGTGATTAAAATATGATTCAAAGTTTTTCTAAAATGACTAAAAGTTTGTCAAAAATGATTCAAAATCTGTAAAGTTAAAATTGTTCATTCAACCTGATTAGAAGTGACTCAAAAATTGTCCAAAATGATCATAAATGTGAGCAAAATGGGTTAAAAGTAGTCCAAATGACTCAGAATCTGTCCAACATGGTAGAAAATATGTCCAAAATAACCAAAAACTGTCCAAAATGACTAAAAATATGTCCAAAACATTTAGAAACTGTATTTAAAATTGTTGACTCAAGCTGTTAAAAAAAAAAAAAAGACTAAAACATGGTCAAAACACTTCAAAAATTTCCAAAAATGTCTTAAAATTGTAAATAAATGACTTGGAATATGTCGAAAATGACGCAAATTTGCCCGAAACAATTCAAAACTCTCAGAAATAACTTTTCAAAAAATGACAATGAATGTGTCTAAACGTATTCAAAAACTATAGAGGTCAAGTTGTTGATGACTAAAACGCTGCCAAAACGTCCAGAATGACCATGAATGTGATCAAAGTGGGTTAAAATGAGTCGAAATGACCTAGAATCTGCCCAATACGATGCTAAATTTGTCCAAAAATGTTTAAAATAACTGAAACAACGACTCAAAATCTGTTCAAAATGTCCAATACGATGCTAAATGTGTCCAAAATGACTCAAATTCATCCAAAATGACTGAAAGTGTCCAAAACGATTCAGAAACTGTGGAGTTTAAACTGTTCACTCAAGAACGTTAAAGAACATGGCCAAAACGATTCCAAATATTTCAAAAAAATGTGTTCAGATTTTGTTCAAAGTGATCAAATTCTTTCCATGACTCAAAATTTCTCTGAAATGAACAAAAATGTGTCTGAAATGGGTTCAAATGTGGCAGAATCTGATCAAAATTATTCAAAATTTGTATGAGATGGTTCAAAACTGTCCGATACGTTTCCAAAAATGATTAAAATTCGTCTAAAATTACAGAAAATTTGTCCAAACTGTCCAAAATGACAAAGATTTGTCTAAAATGGGTTAAAATTACTTTAAAGTGTCCAAAATGTTTAGAATTCGTCCAAAATTCCCCAAAAATGTCCAAAATGACTTGACACTAGTCTAAAAAAAAAAAAAGATTCAGAAACTGTAGAGTTAAAATTGTCGACTCAAGCTGATTAAAATGAATAAAACACATTTCCATAAAAGCCCATCTTCAACACCAGACATTAACGGTCACAGAAGACGTTGTCATGGTACCCTCTGCTAAACGCCCACAGTGCTCTAGACTTCGAGCGGCCGCCTCCTTTGGTCGCTGCAGCGGTAAATTAAAAGGAACGACATTCTTTCATCTCATTAAATAAGAAGAAGCTCCACCTAATGGTGCAACCAGGTACTGCAGCTAACATGTGAAGCTGGACTCGCCCTTCATCTTTATCCGTTAAAATACTTTTAATCCACCAGTTTTTCTTGAGTTGCCGTTACAGAGCTGCATTAAAAATGTAAGACACAAGCTGAAACCAATAGTGCTTCATAAAGTCCACTTCATTTATCAGAACTGAAAAGTGATGTTTTTCTGGGGAGTCAACGGAGTGAGAACATTAAACCAGGATGAGAGAGGCGTTGGCTGCTAACTTATAACCCTGCTGTATTTACTAAACTGCTTCTTTTCTTCATTTTGCAATATACATAAAGTATTGCATTGTCAGTATTGTTTTTTTTCTCCAATATCGTGCAGCTCCAGTCGGATATTTTTCTTATTTTAAGCAGCGCGCGATGCAGATATTTCTGTCACAACCGTGGGGCTCAGAGAGCAGAAAACTTTTATTTTGTTGAGAAAGAAAACTCCACAGAATCACAGTCTGGCGCCCATTTCTTCTTTGAAAGCCCAATTTTGCGGCAATAACCATCAATCACGCTGGGAGCAATCAATCACAGAGGAGACAGAGAGTCACAGCGCCGGAAAAAAATAAAATAAAATGGCTGCAAGAAAACAATGAGATCTGGCAGAGAGGAGCTTTTTTTTCAGCACTTTTGACTCTTTTTTTTTTTTTTTGAGGTTCTCTCTGTTGACAAAACACATTCCAGTGAATTAGGTAGAAGATTGTATTTATCAGATCTGCCTTGATGTTATGAACCCTCTGGTCCTCTGGTGGAGGAGTTCTAACTAAACCTAAAGTCAGTGAGGCAGCGTTTTGTTATTGCTTTTAAAGGTAAACTCAATAATCTACCGTTTTAATCTGGCTTTGGGTTGATTTAATGAATTTTATTGCTTCATTACTCTTCCTAAACCTCATTTTATTGATTAATGTCTCTATTTATTCACTTATACACATATTTTAGTCTCTTCAAGGCATCATGTATTACTTCATTTTTTATTATTCGTTTTTTAATTCAGTTTTTTAAAATTTGTTCATGTAGTTTTGCCCTTCCCCTGTCTGCCTATATTTTAGCAATTTATATTTTTTTTATTCTTTATGTATTTATTGTTAATTATGTTTTTTTATTTCCTTTATTTTCCTTCCTAATCTAGTCTATAATTTTTTATTTATCTATTTATTTTTAACTACTTATTTATTATTTTAGTCAATTAATTTATCTGTATAATATTTATCCATTAACCCATTTATCTTTTGTATCTTTTTTTTTTACTTTAATCATTTATCTTTAATCTATTGTTTTTTATTTTATTAACTTTTGAGTATCAATTTATTTTTATTAATTTCATTATTTATCCTTTTATTTTAATTAATTCATTTATCTAAATAATATTTACCTATTTATAGTTTTTATCTATTTATTGTTTACCTGTGTTTTTGTTTTTATTCTTTATTAATCTATTTTTATTTATCTATTTAAATCTATATTTATTTTAATTCTATAATCTATCTATCTATCTGTTCCTCTTTTTTTTATTGATCTATTTTTTTCCAGTGAGTCCGATATTTAACCTAATTTCATTTCATTTTATCTGATCTCATGTTTCCTCGTTGCATGTCGTGTTCTTTACGCCGACGCTTCCTCAGTCGTTGTGTTTTTGAGTTCTTCGTTTATAATCCCCACATTTATGCTCCATAAAAAAAGGATGATGTGATTAAATAGGATTAAAAGATAAAAGAACTCCTGGAACCCCGACACAAAGTGAAACCTTTGTTGTGTTTGCAGTCAAAGAGCGGAGAAGGCCTCGGTCCTACCTTGCTGGCACTCGGGGCAGCAGCGGCCCTCCTGGACCACGGCCAGGCTGCCTGGGGGGCAGGTGGGGCAGGATCTCAGGTAACAAGTCACCTGGGCGTCGCGGCATTCACACTCGCGGCAGCCGCTGTCGCTCCATCGAGCCAGATTCTGAAAGCAGACGGAGGAGGATGAGTGAAATCGGAGAGAACGACCGAGGATTCAGACTTTGAAGAAACACAATTAAAGAAAACAAACAGGCTGAATGCTTAAAAAGCTGCAGGTGTCGGTTCTAGAACAAACCCGACAGTCACGACTTTCATAAACGGTTTCAGAACGGGGTGAGTGAAGCGACAGGAGCCCACCGAGGACAGAAACTCTGGCAAACAGCAGGAATGTCAATCACCAGCCGCACAGAACACAACTTTAAACGTAATGAAGACTGTTGTTAAACCTGACACTTCTCTGAAACGACTAAAACACGTCCAAAATGATTAGCATCTGTCCAGATTTATTCAAAACTGCCTCAAATGATGACAGATGCGACAGAATTGTCTCAGAAATTGTACAAAATGATCCAAAATGAGTCTGAAATGTGGTCAAATTTGTTCAAAATGATGCACGATTTGCCTAAAATGATTCAAAGCTGTACAAAATGACTAAAGAAAAACTTTTAAAACTGTAGAGTTAAAATTGTTGACTCAAGCAGACTAAAACTGACTGACAACTATGATCACAAATGTCTCCAAAATGGATAAAAAAATTGGTCCAAACACTCAGAATTTGTCCAAAAGTAACTAAAAGTATCCAAAATTATCTTGAATTTGTCCAAAATGATTCAAAGTTGTCAAAAACAATCAAAACTGTGTAAAAAGAAAAATAATGAGTTTAAAAAAAATAAAATGTTTGTGACATCTTTTCAAAATGACAAAGCACGTCCAAAACTATTAGAATTTGTCCAGTATGATTCAAAACTGTCCAAAATGACTTCGCACTTGTTGAAAAATTTCCGAAATTACTGCGGACCTGAAATCGTTGACTAAAGTAGATTGAACAATACTAAAAATGGCCAAAAAGGGTTTAAAGTAGTCTAAATACTTAAAATATGTGTAAAATGGGTCCACAATGACTTGACACCTGTCCAAAATGACCACCAATGTGTCCAAAGTGGGTTAAAATTAGTTCAAAATGACTGACTTTGTCCAAAATGGTGAGATTCTTTCCAACATGACTCAAAATTTCTCTGAAATAGCCAAAAATGTGTCCAAAGTCGGTTCAAATCCGACAGAATCTGACCTAGATGATGTCAAATTCATATAAAATGGTTCAAAACTGACACTTGTCCAATATGACTAAAAATCTTTCCCAAATGATCAAACATGTTTCCAAAATTGGTCAAAATTTGTTCAAAATGATTCAGAATGTGTCCAAACTGATTGAAAATTGTCCAAAATGACAAAAATGTGTACAAAATAACCAAAACGTGTTTAAGGCTTAAAATTAGGTTAAAATTATTAGAATCTGTCCAAAATGACTAAAAAAATGTCCAAAAATATCTAAAATTAGTCCAAAATGACTTAAAAATGGTCCAGAAAGATCACAGATGTGTTCAAAATGAGTTCTAGTTGGTTTAAAATGACACCAAATCTGACCAAATTGATGCCATATTTGCATAAAAAGGCTCAAAAGTGTCCAAAGTGACCTGACACTCGTCTGGACTTGACTTTTTACAGCATCCAGGAGCTGATTAAAGCTCGCTGACGAAGCTGGACTCTGATAAGAACTACAGAACTCCCAGAGCTCGTTTGGCAGCAGAGCTTCCATTCATTCACCACTTGTCATAGAAACCTGCGGCCGTGAACGACGACGAGCAGAAATGTGCAGCCTTCACGATCGTCAGATGTAGCAGCTGAGCATCATGAGGCCTTTTCACAGAATCAATTGCCTTCATCTTCTACATTCACAGATGAAATTCGTCCCTGAACAGCTCAGACGACACGTCTATGAAATGCAGAAGCACCAGTTTTCTTCATCCAACACACAAATGGAAACTTTCTTTACGATATAAACACATCACAGCAGCATGTCATTGTAAATAAACTGTACATCTATTTAGAATCAAAGTTCTGAGTCATTTGTTTGAGAAAATCAGCTTTCTTTCTTTAGGTTAGCCTAGCTTAGCATAAACACTGGAAACAAACACACTATGTTGCATGTTTTCTCCAGTGTTTTCATCTTTTCGTAACCAACTGTTGAGGAAGTATAAAACTATCTTATGAATGCTAGCTGGTCTCCTTGCCACTAGTCCTAATGCTAAGCTAGGCTAACAGCAGCTCATCTCCATTCAAAAGTGTGTCCAAAATGGTTTAAAATTGCTCTAAATCCTCTGAATCTGACCAGAATTATTTCAAACTGTCCAAAAGTATTTGGCTCTTGTCTTGAGTTGACTTTTCAATCTTTTCATTCGTCACTTTTCAAGCCACAATCACTCTAAAAAATGTCCAAATAGAAATAATTTGTTTTAAAAAATGGCTGAAGTGCACGAAAATTAACTGGTTGTAATGATGTTTCCCCTTTTGGGCCAATCACACCTCTGAGAACTCCTCAGAATCTGTCCAGAATAATTAAAAATCATTCGAAAAAAAAAAAAAGTGTCCAAAATGATCCAGAAACTGTAGAGGTACAGTTTAAAATATCAACTCAAAACAGATTAAAATGGACTAAAACATTGACTCAGTGACTCAACCAATGTCCAAATACATACTACAATTATAATACTAATGACGGAGTTTGGCTTTTCTCTTGAGTTTTGCCTTTTTTATATATTTATTTTATTGTTGTGCGCTAACAAACTTCCATCTCCAACAGATTTGAGTGTCCTCATTCATCTCGCTGCAGGTTCTAATGGTGTTTTCCCATTTAGGCCGATCACATCTCGAAATAAACAAGTGAGAATTAGCAATTTTTTAAGTTAGAATTTGCCCAAATTGACGTAAAACTGTCAACAATTGGCCCAAAATGGGGGAAAAAATTGTCCAATATGATACAGAAACTGTAGAGTTAAAATTATTGATGCAAACACAAAAATGGACTAAAATGTTGGGAAAAAAGCTCCAAATGTGGCCCAAATGCCTCAAAAAAAATGTCAAAATACAAATAATTTGCCCAAAAAATGGTTGAAGTGCAAGAAAATCAACCAACTGAAATCATCCTAATGACCAAGTTTGGCTCTTCTCTTGAGTTTTGCCTCTTTTTTTGTATTTATTTCATTGTTGTGTGCCAACACACTGACCAGGCAGCTTCCATCTCCAACGTATTTGAGCGTCCTCATTCATCTCGCTGCAGGTTCTAATGGTGTTTTCCCATTTGGGCCGATCACATCTTGAAATAAAACAAGTGAGAACTGTGTTTGTGTTCTTGCCGGCCTCCTATAAATAGGCCGCTAATGCGCCTTTAAATCACCTTGAAGATAAGTGTCGGGTAAACACAGTTTATTATTCTAACTCATTAACTTTCCGGGCCGTTATTCTGCGACTCGCTGGGGAATTCCACACCAGTAATCATCCAGTTGCAAACCTGCTGCTTTAACCTCGAAAAGAAAAAACCCACCAAAAAGCGACGGGGTGGCGTATCGACGGTTGTAGGCGTCCATACGATGGGCTGTGTTTACTGCTGCTGAGATGGATTCCTCGGGGAGACGAACTCCAATCCATTGGAAAAGAATAATAGCGTTTTCTCTCCAGCCTTGGCCGACCGTCCTCCCTCCCTCCCTCCCTCCGCCCCAACATCGGCTGGAAAACGTTAAAAATTAAAGCCTTCCAGTTTCCCATGAATAATGAAGCCTCTAACAGATATGGGCCAGAATATTAAGAAAAGCCGGTGTTGTTGGGAGCTAAACAGCCCTAAAACACATATTTATTCAACTCACTGCGACTAATTCTCAGTGTTTATATATTCATACGCGGCCTAATATTGATGTATCTGCCTGTTTGTGCCGCCTCCTCTGCACCGAGGCTCCACGCCGCCGCCTTCTGAGAGTTTGCAGAAGCCCTGCGGTGGCTTCGTCTCACCCACAGAGCTGTTTGGATTTCTTCTCCACGCTCTGTTTCGTTGTGCAAACGGGCTCAAAGAGAAGCTGGAGATGGTGAGATTGGGTTTACCTGGTAGGAGTTTCCCTGGTAAAGGCAGGCGGGTTTCAGGGAGGAACACTCCGGGCAGCACTTCCCCGGCAGGTACACCAGCTCCGAGTCCTGAGAAACAAAGGACGTGTTGATTAGGTTTCCTTTCATGCATTAGTGCCGCGTCACGCTTTACATGGTCTCCTGGGAAAAGCACAAGAAGACAATGTGAGAATAAACTTTACTCACTGTAGGCTCATTTTCTTTACCCATCTCCTACTGTTTTTCCTGCTACTACACGTCAACTCTAGAAAGATGTTCCACCATCAGCTGGATGTATCTCCAACAACCTCCTCCTCTGTTCACTGGTTCTGAGCCATGCTGCATTTATTTATTCATCCAGGAGGTTGGACTTTACTCTCAGTCCAAAATACTCAGAAAATTATTTGAAACTTCTCCAAAGTAACATTAAATTTTCCAAAACTACCTGAAAAATGTCTAGAATCACTTTAAACTTCTCCAAAATAACTTAAAAATGACGAGAAACTAGTTCCAAATGATAATATGGTTTAAAGTTGTTATATTCTGCGTTACTTCAGCAGTGGGATTGTTGTTGTTTTTTTTTGCAGGTTTAAAACTTCAACAACCAAATGAAGAGAGAAAAAAAATCTGCCTTTTCTCTTAGAAAAAAAAAAAAAAGACAAAGATTAGACTCCACATTTACGGCGGTCCGTAGCATCAAGGCTGCTAATGAAGCACTAATGTGAAGTCAATGACTGTGACCTTGGTGGTGTTTCTCTACACAAGCCGCCTGAATGTTTCCACCGACGCAGATTCTCAATAACCTCGTTTTCATTTCTCCGCGTGCACGTCTTATTATCTCGCTTTCTGCTGCAGATTCGACCTGCGAAACCTTTTTCTTCTCAAACTTTCGCCCCCCAAAAAGCAACATGTCAGCACCCAGGAATCCCATTTGGTGGCTCACAAATGGGCCTGTGAAGGAGCTAATGGAAGATGTCACAGTCGCTTTGTTCGGCTTCATACACGCGCTGCAGTTAAATTCACAGATTGGCAGCAGGGCCGAGGAGTGGAGGCCGCGGGGTCGCTCTCCTCCATCCCAGCTGATTTAACCACTTAAGATGAAGTGAATGTAAAAGACAAGAAGAAAGTAACGACGTGAGGAGAAGCTCGGCTGCACGACGGCGGCTAGAGGCAGGAAACACGACTCAGCGATGAAAGTACACTGTAAAAAAAGAATTAAATTATCTGATAAAACATTGAAAATCTGACAGCCAGAGTCAAACTAAATCTATGGCAAAGAACAGTGAAATACTGTAAACTGAAAATCACAGCATATTTCTGTACAATAATGGTATTTAAGCAGATTTAAAAAGGGCAAAATAAAAACGCTAGTTGCTACATGTGAAAATGTAATTTGGATGTGAACATTATTTACAATTTTGACCTCTTTTTTTGCAGCTAACATCTAAATCAATACTTTATTTTTGCAATTTTCACATTATTTTACGCTGTTGGCCTGTTTGTTTCTTGTTAACAACTTTTCTTTCTTTTAAATAAATATGCTTAATTTAACAAAACAGGAAAATCTGAAAAGTTATTTAGGATTTTTCAAATTTTAATCGTACATAATCTGTCTTTAAATTAGTGGCAAGTATCTGTAAGATCATTATTTACAGTTTCAAACTTCTTAATGGCCAACAACTAAATTAATTCTTTTGTTTTTCTTGTAATTTTCTTATGTATTGTCAGTGATTTAACAAAACTGGGAAAATCTCTAAAACAACGTGAATTCCAGTTGAAAACGTTCCTGTTTTCCGGTGCTCAGCAGCCGTTCAGGTCTTTTCTTCCAGCAGCAGCAGCTGTGATGTGAAGACGTGAACATCAGCCTGAGCCCAGTCAGGAATGTAGGACGTCGGACGTGGGAGTAGTTTTGGGACAAAACAAAAGGATTTGTTAAGGTTATTAGGCAGCGTTGCCATGGTTACCTTTATTCCCTCTACGTGACCCAGTTTGGGCGTCGACTCGACGCCTCGGCCGGTGTTTCCGACGTCAAGCCGCTTTAATAATATTGCCGTAACGTCCCCGAGCGGGACCAAATAAGCCCTCGTTAATCACCCTGCACGGCCGTAATTACAGCTGCTAAGTGTCATTAGCTGTAAGTAGCAGCGCTGGAGTCGGTCCAGCTCCGAGTCCGACAAGGTCACGCTGCTCAGAGGACCAGCGACGCAATCAAGACCAGGTTTAACGGCGTGTGGGTCGGCAGAACCGAGATCCGTTCACAGCCAGTCAGTTCATGAGTCCTGCTCTGGTAACGAACCGTAACAGATCAGTGAGGGCTCAGAGGGAGTCGCAGGTGTGGCTGGTGTTTGGGTTTTAATTTTTACTATTACATCCATCCATCATCTATACACCGCTTAATCCTCACTAGGGTCATGGGGGGCTATCCCAGCTGACTCAGGGTGAAGGCAGGGGACACCCTGGACAGGTCACCAGTCTATCACAGGGCTACACTTAGAGACAGACAACCAAGCACACTCACATTCACACCTACGGACAATTTACAATCACCAATTAACCTCAGCATGTTTTTGGACTCTGTGGGAGGAAGCCGGAGAACCCAGAGAGAACCCACGCTGCACGGGGAGAACATGGAGACTCCACACAGAAAAGATCCCAGGTGTCCTCACCAGGACGCGAACCGGCGACCTTCTAGCTGTGAGGCGACGGTGCTAACCACCGAGCCACCGTGCAGCTCCATACAACTTCCAGTCAAAAAAAGAAAGAAACTACAACATGCTGGATGTTTGTAAGGTTCAACCATCATGAAGACTTTCCTGCATCAGATCACTGGCAGAGCAACGTAAAAGAACTCAGAGTAAATACTAGACTGTTGTTTGTTTAGACAACAAATGTGGACATTATTTACAGTTTTGGCCTGCTTGCACACATAGATTAATCATATTCTCTGTGATTTTTTTGAAAATTATCTAATAAATATCTGTGAAAAAACAGTTTTGAAATTTACAATTGTTTGAATCTTTAATATAGAGACGTTTTCTTTATATTAATGTGAAATAATGTCATTTTTTGCTGGTTAAAATACTGCAAAAAAAAATAATTTTACAGTCAAATGTTGTAAAAGAATAAATTACTGGTTGTAAAAAGACAATCAACATATATAAATCTATTATTTTATGACTTTACTTGTCATTATCTGTAATTTTACAGAGTTAAGAAAATGTGTAAAACAACAGTTCAAATCTGATTTAACATTTTCCAATCCTGAAATGTGTTTTTTTCTTTAAATAATGTGAAAAAAGATGATTTTGTGCTGATTAAAATACAGCAAAAATAAAATTTTACAGACAAACACTGTAAAAGAATAAATTACTGGTTGTAAAAAGGTTGTTTTTGTGTGACTTTACAGAGAAAACGTGTGATTTATAGTCAGTTATCAATAATAATATACTTTTATTTTTGCAGCAGTGACACGATGTATCTGTGAGAATTAACTTTATTTGAAAATCAGCAGGTGTTTGAAGATCATCTGCAACAAAATCAAGACAAACCAGGTGGACATGTGGAGGTCTCACAGCTCTGGAGGGTTTCCAGATCACCACCAGTGTTGTGAGCAAACCAAGAATCAACATGCAGCTGATGGACTCATCTGATGTTTTGTTGTGTTTTGGCTCAAGCTGAATTCGTCTCTTGCATTTCTTTTGGCTCTAACCTTTGCCTCAGGACCCCCACAGAGGCTCGACTGGCTCGAATAAGTAGGTTTTTATTGTTATTTTTTCCACATCCGTCTGAATAAAGACACAGAAGCTGCTGCCTCTGGCTCTGAGGACTAAATTTAACCAAGTGTGTTGTTGTTGTTCTTTAAAGAGCAGCTCCGGCCCGAGGACATGAAACCAAAAAAGAAGTTCTACCTGCGGGCATTCGACCCGTCCACACTCGGCCCTCTGACAGAGCACCTGGCCGCGGTCGCAGGTGCAGAACTCGCAGCCGGTGCCGTTCCACATGTCGCCGTGGTAACGCACGGCGCCCTGGTACAGGCAGCTTCCCTTGGCGGCGGCGCATTCGTCACAGCACCGACCGGCTCGCCGCACTTTGGTCTGACCCTGCGAAGGAAGCACACGGAAGGAAACTGAGCTGCAGAGACAAAGAGCTTATAAAAATGCTGCTTTTGTGCATTTTTTTTTCTTGTTGTTTTCACCACACACGGAGATAAGACGGCGGAGGAGAGGCTGTGTGTTGCATTATTAAGGGAGCAGTTTGTTCCATCACACCGGCTTTATTTCGCAGATTTACTGACGCTGCAGATGCAACTCTTGCACGGCCCGAGAGTTTGAGATTCTTTCTGTGAAGACGCTTCACGTTATTGCAGCGAAACTTTACAGAAGAAAAGCTCAGCTCAAAGCCTCCCCAAATTCCATTTCTGTTGAATCACAGGGCAGGCAGGTATTAGCTCAGGTTTTCCCCTTTCATATTATTTTATTTCAGAGTGGTGGTTTTTTGGAAGTTCTCAGTCCGCTGGGATCTTCTCTCTGCAGCGCCGGGTTCTGTTTCATCAGTGGAAGGAATTGAGCTTCAGAAAAGTCCTCAACCGTGCAGAAGGATGGGAATATTTGACTTTGATTTTGCGTGAGGTTTAAGAGTGAAAGTGCTGCAAAAAGCTTTTCACCGGTTTCACAGCAATGGCATCAATCCTGACTGGAACCTACAGGTTTAACTTCTGGTCTGGTATATGTGGACAAAGAGCACGCATTCTCCTGTTCTTCATTTACGCTGGCGTCCACTTTGGTGTACTGGGTGTGATCAAAAAGTTCTGGGACTTTACCAATAAAAATCTATCGATCAGTTATATTTCAGCCCTTCTGACTTGTTTCTTTGCCTATTCGTGCTCCTATTAGGACCTTTTGAGGACATTTGCTGCATGGAAAGCTTCCTTAGTCCATTTTTATGGATGTATAACATGCGATGAAGAAGTTCTGCTCCTATAAAAAGCAAAAAATGCACCAGATTAAAGTAGTCTTCTCGTGCAGTGATGCTCTGCTCCCGTTGCTCCTGCAACGCTTATAGCACAGCGTGGAAGTCCTGTCCATATGCATGTCAAGCATCATCTGTTATGACGGCTCAAGCTCCTGAAATGTGCCAGATTTACTTCAAAGTAGTCTCTTGTGCAGTGACGCTCTGCTCCCATTGCTCCTGCAACGCTTGTAATACTCCTCAGTAGCCCTGTATGTTAAGCACCATCTATGATGAGCACTCAGTCTCCTAAAACATGTCTGATTCACGTTAAAGTACTCTCCTCGTGCAGTGATACTCTGCTCCCATTGCTCCTGCAATGCTTCATAATGCTCCCTGGAAGCACCGTCTGTTTTTGGCGCTGAATCTCCTAAAACTGTGATCCGTCAAGCTGGATTTCATTTTTGAGGAGGGAAGACATCTCAGGGAGACAAATCTGCTACAGCGTTTGTGTTGTTGTGGCCAAAGAAGCTTGTGTCCGAGCACACAGCTTGTTGGGGATGTTATCATGCCACGGTTCAGGATGTTCACCTTGAATGTTCTTCCTCCAGTGTGTCTTGACATCACTGTAGAACTCACGATGCCAAACCACGTTAATGTTGAACAACATGACGTGACGCATGACGTGACGCATCTTCTCCAGACTCCTCATTTGTAAAAACGACCATTTCTTCACTGACCTCTCATTTTCCAGTAACGATGCTCCACATGACGACTGAACTATCACGAGTTCTTACTGGTACACAATGTAATGTTTGCTCTCTGCTGAAGTTTGAGCTCCACAGTAAAACTGCAAACGTGAGGCTGCCAGTGGATACAAAAAGTGTGCAACTAAATCTAAGCTGAGTCTAAGCCAAGCTAGGTCTAAGCCAAGCTAAGCCAAGTTTAGGTTAAAATAAGTTTAAGCCAAGTCTAAGCTAAGGCTAAGTCAAGTCAAGCTAAGCAAAGACAACTTTAGGCTAAGATAAGTCTAAGATAAGGCTTGGGCTAAGTCAAGCTAAGCTAAGATAAGCCAAGTTTAGGCTAAGATAAGTCTAAGCCAAGTGTAAGCTAAGTCTAACCTAAAGCTAGGGCTAAGTCAAGCTAAGCTGAGAGAAGTTTAGGCTAAGATAAGTCTAAGACAAGTCTAAGTGAAGCCAAGCTAAGTCTAAGCCAAGCTAAGCTCAAGCTAAGCTAAGGCTTGGGTCAAGTGAAGTCAAGCCTTTACTAATCTGGATGGAAACGTGCAGCATCACAGCAGCTAATAAAACTAAAGAACATCTATAAGTACCGATCCTTCTTATGTGGAGATTCAGATATTTAACAGATTGCTCTGGATGTGGGAAATAACAATAAGGCCAGTATTGTACAGATTGTCCAGTAAGATTGTCCATTGAGCGCTATGAGATGACTTGTTGTTGTAAATATGCGCTATACAAATAAAATTGAATTGAATTGAAATTAAGTTGAATAACAATGACATTGCACGCATTCTTGTGTGTGTAGAGAAGCTGAATGTTTTATAAATGTACAAAATATTCACAATGCACAGGTTTAAAGGTGCTGATGTTGTTCTGGGAGCAGCGCTGGTTGTAATAGCTGGACTATTTGACTGCACCACAAAAAAAAAACAAAGAAAAACAAGCGAAAAACACTTTTAATGTTAAAGAATGTTGGTCTTTGCTCAGACTGTTTTTCATGTAGCTTGTACTGGTATTACTACGTACTCATATGTGCGCAGCCCCTTAACGTTTTGCTGTGGTTTTTTCTTTTTTTTGTTGGACTCCACTAACAAGAGGTCCAGCTCTGGATGGAAGCTGCAGGAGGAAATTTGCATACAATTAAGAATTAAATGTCAGCCGGCGTGGATGTCCGTGTGTGTGTGTGTATTGCTCATGCTGTGGGGACATAAATGTGTTGGAGGCGAAAAGAAAAAAAAAAAAAAATCAACCTTGTAATGGTCATGTTTCAGGTTGGGGGTCAGAGGAAGGTTTAACAGAAGGGAAGGCACTGCCAGACGTTCCTGCATCCATTATGGAGCTTCCACATGGCGCCGAGGTGAGCTCTGGATAAAAAGTGTGTATAAAACTGAATGCATGAATATTTGAGCGTGCGAGAAAACCCACCTTGTCGCAGGCGACGGGCCGACAGGTGTTTGTGTGGCACTTGGACTGGCCTCGGTCGCACACGCATGTGGTGCAGGCGTCCTTCTGCCACTGCTGGCCGTGCTGCAGACACAAACACATTCTGATCACAGTCCCACACTCCAGCCGTTTGTACAGAACTCAGAGCTCATTTGAATCCAGCGAGCGGCTCCTTGTCTTTGAGGGGCTGTGTTAGAGTAAAGGCGGGAAGTGGAGGCGGCGTGAACGGCATGCAAACGCCGGCGACTGGATGTCAACACGATGCTCCTTAAAGCCGCTCAAACAGGAGCAGCAGGAAGAAGAAAGACAACAGGAAGCAGCGGCGAACACACAGCTGCAAAGGAGAGCTGAAACAATCGGGCAGCGTTCAAATGTGCATAAATGCATCAACAATGGTATTTGTCTCTGAAACCCTTTTCCTATTTTACATATCTTAAAGGCTTTCAAAGCAGTGGACAGGTTTACAACATTTAATAAGTGAATTAGTGAATAATTACAGAATAGTTTGATTCAATTTAGCAGTTTTGGGGCTTTATGGTGTTAATCTTACATTTAAAAAGAGGCTTTGAAATGTTCAATCTTACATATAGATTGATGTTTGAAGTGCATTTAGTATAATGTGGCAGATAAATGCATCAAATTAGGCAAAAGCACTACTTATGTGCTGCCCGTTTGGAAGATAAACATAGCTCGGTGGACACTGGCATGTTTTTTTTTGGTATTTTGATTTCAGTTATCCAATTTGTAGGACATGAACGTTGCTCCATGTATTTTACACACCTTACATTTCCATTCTGGTGGCAGAAAGCATCTTGTGGTCCACAACACGTGTTAAGTCAAGTCATAATGGAGCAGCAACTGTCTGAATTAAAGAGTTATTTCCACAAGCTAGCTTCTACACTTTGATGTAGCGTGTGAATTTGGCATCTACAAGCTACATTGCATATACTTTGGCACCAAAACCTACAAGATCACGCTTGAGTCAAAATATATGAGCTTGCACATCAGAAATGGCGGCCATCTTGAAAATTTGTGTTGCTAATGCCAGTTTTAGAAGTTATTTGCCATATTAATAATTTTTTCAATTCCCTATCTTTTGTTTACATGTCACACGTTTTTGTAAAGAAAAAAGGTTCATTAATAACCCGGCTTGTTTTTGACACATGAGCGCTGGTCGGACGTCAATAATCACCACAGAAGTCTTTGTCATGGTGCCCATTGCTAGCTAAACAATGCTATCTGCTTGCCAACATGAACTGGTCTGAGTGACACCTCCTCTGGTCTCTACAGTATTAAACAGTGAGAGGCTCCACCTGGTGGAACAGCCAGGTACTACAGCTGATCTACAATATATATAAAAGCTGTTTTTCTGTGTTTTGATGTCCTACTGGAGCTACTCTGAAAAGCTTGCGACCACCTACGTAACATGAAGGAGCAGCTTGGGTGTAAAAATAAAATGTGTTTGTTAAAGCACTGCAGTCAGTTACATCACATATACATTGGATTGATTTTAATTATCTTCAAAAACACTATTGGATCATTGGCAAAAAAAAAAAAAAAAAGGCCTTCAATTTCTAACCTGTGTGAATTTAGGGTCAAACTTCTGTAGCTGTCAGATTAAATTCTAACTTCCGTCCTCTTTCAGACTAAGCAGCTCGATTAAATATTGACCGAAGCCTGGAGGATGCTAATTATTTCATTTTTTAAGACATCAAAACAGCGTAAAGGTACTTCTGTGGAGCTCTTTGAACATCGCTAACCTCCACAGAAAAGGGTCCTTCAGCGCACGTAGGAGTTAAAACGCGTGTGATTCATAACGATCTATAGCACAGATCCGTTTGAAGATGACGGAAACTCACAGCTGATCCCGCCGAGTTCAAACATTCACACCTGAGCAAACGTAATGATCTAAAGAGGCCAAAAAAAAAAGAAGCTTAATGTGAATAAAGTCTGAATCTTTGAAGATATTCTCGACACGCACGCCTGAAAATGAAAACATTCATACGCAGGTTTTAGACACGGAATAAACCAAAGTCGTTGTTTTCATTTTGACCTTAAAAAAAAAAAAGAAGAAGATAAAAACAATTACCGTTGAGATTATATTTATCAGTGTGGGATCACGAACTCCGTCATTCGTGTGACTTTGGTGAAAGATAACAGTTTGTTTTCATTATCGCTGCTTTACTATTTGACTTTAAAACCCGCTGCACCACCAGTACGTTAGCATCAGATCCTTAAA